TCCAGATGTGATCTGACTCCTCTTTGATTCCACATAGCAGTGGGCCTTGAGTGGTTGGATCAGCTGTGTGCCTTGGAATGTTACTGTATTCAAAAACAAGGTGTTAGGATAAGGTTATATTCTTGTCATAAATTACAGAATCATGTAGAGTATTCTCTAATATCTGCTTTTTGTAAAGAGACTCTGGACCGAGTATGGTGGCTCATGCTTATAATTCCAGTGCTTTGCGAGGCTGAGGTGGGAGGGTCGCTTGAGGCCAGCCTGGGCAACATAGCAAGATCCCATCTCTACAAAAAAAAAGAAAATTAGCTGGGTATATGGTGATGCATACCTGTAGTCCCAGCTATGCAGGAGGCTAAGGCAAGCGGATCACTTGTGCCCTGGAGGTCGAGGCTGCTATGAGCTATTACACTCAAGCCTGGGTGGCACAATGAGCCCCTGTCTCTGGTGAATGGTTCACTAAGTGAGACCTTCCTGTTGTCATCCCATATCTGATACTGTTTGGCTCAGGACAAGAAGCAGGATGTGTGTTTTAAGCACAGTGGTGACTGTAGACCTGATTTGTATGTGGAGCATGTATTCAAAATTCAAATGTTTTCTTTATTTTTTTTTCCTGGAAATATTTTTGGGGCAGGGAGGGGTTGGATATTGTTTTCTGCCAAGACTCAAGGGGCTATTTTAAAAAGTACCATTTTGGGGGAGGAGGGCCCCCTTTCCTTGTGCCCCCAGTTTTTTTAATGTCTTCTCCACAAAATACAAACTCCCTTCTTTCTTCCAGCACACCTGTTGACTTGTGGATTCAGGTAGTGGTGCACTAAAAATGCCATGCTGCATTTCCAATGAGCTCATTTGATGAGATTAGGTGAGTTAATTGGGATTTCTGACATGGCTCTGGAAGGCCCAGAAGCCTTGCCTTTGGACCACCCCACACTGGCCTGGGGGCTTCTTGCGCTTGCTCCCACTCAGGACGTGGTGTAAGAGCTATCATTTGAAGCCTGTCATTCAGTCCCCCTGGGGGTGCAGAAATGGTCTAGTGATTCTCAGATAGCAGAGTACACGTCAGCGGTGTGGGGCCTGGGGCAGCCCTGTTATCGCAGGCGCATCAGCAAAGCCTCCTTTGGGATGATCCGTCCACACTGAGCTTGTGGGATGATGATCTAAGCATGTTAACAATGTGTGGGCACCCTTCTTCCCCCTCACCCTGTAGACTCTCAGTGACCTGGGCATGCAGGCGTTAAGGGGGCTTCTTATATCAGATCCTTTAGGACTTGGAAAACTCTGGAATTCCATCTGGGGTAGTGAGTGAGCAGTTGAAGCCCTTGAGTCTGTCTCTTTTTGGATTGTAGCTCCTTCTGTGTGTTACAGTTATTCAGTTTTTTGTCTCCAGGCTTCTGCACCGTTAGGGGTGCAGCTGACTTGTGCTCCTCGATTTCCCAGAACCCACCCTCCCAGTGCAGGAGTTTGCTTTTTGGGTCCTCCAATATGTGTTCATATTTGATTAGCCTGTTGTGGTCTTTTCTTCAGTCTAGAAATTTCAGAACCAAAACAGGAGAGAAGAATATGGCATGTTCTGGACCTTTTCATTTATTTATTTTTTAATTTTCTGCAGTAAATGTCCATTCCTAATATAGACCAAAGGAGCTAGACAAACAAAACAAAACAAAACAAAATTGGGGTCATAGTGTATGGGGCCTCCCTTCATGGTGGAAAAGGTACCTGGTGAGCTTTTTCTCTCCATCATTTGCCTCCACATATATTTTCATCACAAAGTTGTTTGAATTTTTTTATACTTTATACCCTGCTTGGGCTCAAATTGTTAAATCTCATGTTGCTTATAACCTTGAATGTGAGTTAGCTCCATGGAAGTAATTAATGGTGTATATTTGTTGTTAACCCTGGCATTTAACACCCATGCTAGGCTTGTCATGGATTCTCATGAAATACTTGTAGAATGAGTGTCTTTTGGTCATGGTGGCCAGTCAAGTGCAGAGAGAAAGACATATGGAACTGGATTGTTGGAATTAGTTAATTTTCCTTGGAATAAGCAACCCAAAGGGACTGTTACATAGAACAAGTGAGTTTAGAAGACGTTTTGGTTTTTGCCCCCCTTGAGGTTCAAGGTAGGACTGAAATGAGAGATATACCAGAATCAGATGACGATTTGCAGCTGTGAAGTCACTCAAGCCTCCGATGGTTATTCTAACTGCATGTAGGTCCTCGTCATAACTGCAGTATCGCTACACACCTGTCGGACAGAAAATGAACCGGGTTGTAGTGTCTGAGATGGGTCTCAGTTGTTAGTCAGGTAGTTTATGCTGCTTTGACTCTGTCTTCTTATGGGGAGTAGGCTGAGAGCTGGTGACCTCCTTGAAGGGAATGTGGAACTCTTTACTAACTCACAGCGGAAGATGATCCCCCCCTTCACCCCTCTCACCCCTACCCCCCTACCCCCAACTTCTTTGGCACTCCAGCTGTTCCTCCAAGGAAAGAACAGGCTGTGCCCTTGGAAGAAGAGCCTCAGTTTCCACTGTGTGTGGATGGGCAGGTGCCAGCCTGCCGTGCCTGGCCAGCTCTCCTGGGCTCCAGCCCCTTAGCACCAGCCCCACGAGGCATGGGCGTTGGCCCCCAGGGGCATAGTTTTACACAGGTTGGCTCAGCTTCTGGGGCTCATCCTAGGCTGCCTTGCCCTCAATTTGTACAGGCTTTTGGTTGACCCTTACATTTCTTCACAACAGTCCTTGGTGCCTCCCACCACCATTGACAGAGTGGCTGTAAACGCCTTTTCTTCCGGGGTGCTCTCTGGCAGTTTCCAAGGGACACTCAGAGGTACGTTTGGCTGTTTCTAGAAGCCCACCCTCTCGTCCTGGGCACCTAACTTTGCTCTCTGCCTCTTCCTTCTGGTTTTTTCTTTGTTTACTCACCCTTTCTCTTTCCTCTGAAGGCATGTGTTTACACACAGGCACATATGTGTGCACACATATGTGCATACGTCACCTCCCTTGCTACCTGTCTCGGCTCTCCCATCCATGTCAGGCCTCCTACCACCATTCCACTTAAGCTCTTCTGCCCCATGAGAGCTCTCATCTCAAAGCTCAGTTTCACATTCAACTTTTTAGACCGAGCCACAATCTGGTGAGAGGTTTGGAAAAAGAAATGGCTTTAAGAATCCAGATCGCAGAAGTAATGCTTTAGCAGGGTTGAATTCAAATGTCATAGAAAGTGAAAGTTCCCTATAATATGTTTCCCATGACCACCTTAAACAGTGTTAATGAGCTGGGCTCGGTGGCTCAGCCTGTAATCCCGCGCCTTTGGGAGGCTGAGGTGAGTGAATTGCCTGAGCCCGTGGGTTCGAGACCCACCTGGGCAGCGAGACCTCATCTCTACAATAAATCAAAATGAGCCGGGCGTGGTAGCCTGCGCCTGTAGTTCCAGCTACTTGGAAGGCTGAGGTGGAAGGATTGCCGGAGCCCAGCAGGTCGAGACTGCGGTAGCCGGAAGTGGCCACTGCACTCCAGTCTGGGCAACAGAGTGAGACTCCAACTCAAAAAAACAAAAACCAGAAAACAAAAACCAAAAAACAAAACCAGAAAACAAAAAACAGTGTTAATGTTTTGCTTTTTGCTTAAAAAAATAGTGTACTCCTCATTCTAACCAAAAACTTTGAAAAAAAAAAGAGAGACAACCACATTTTCTCACTGTGGGGGGGCTAAAATGCTACATGTTGAATGTTCACTTTCTGATTAGAACTAACAGGTAAACAGATATATATACTTTTTTCCCCTAAGCATATATTGTTTATTTTCTTGAAAATGGGATCATTGCATACATACTCTTTTTAGTCTCTTTCTTTAGAAAGATTGATTACATATCAAACATTGTTTCACGGCAGTAGGTATAGATCTGCACCTTTTCTGTTTTAATAGCTACATGGTAATCTGCTGGGAGAGTCTTGATTAGGTTATAACTGAGTGTAAAATGTGGCATCTGACTCTTGATCACAGTCTCTCTTTCTGTAAATGCCCCCCATTTCTTCGATAATGAGGAATACCCTCTTTTTTTTTTTTTTGGGTCAAAACGATGTTTTCTGAGGAGAATCACAGATTTAAATGCTTATTTTCTCAGTTCGTCACCCCTGTTTAACAATCAGTTTTAAGGGCTAAAAAAGCCTTAGGATGTTACCTTTTTATAAATATAAAAATAATATTCACTTTTTTTTCCCCATTTAACCAAAAAACCAAAGTCCATTATCAGTCTCATGTGAAGGAATAAAGGAAAGCTTTTCTCAAATCAGGAGACTCTGAGACTGAGTTGTGCTCGTGTAGGTTGGGCTGTGGTTCCCTAATGAGTGTGGCTGGTGAGAGGTGTATGGCTGTTCTTCGTGGACAGTGGACTGTCAGCTATGCCTGCAGCCACGGCCACCTCCCAGGATGTCCCATGGTACCTGCAGAATGTTGATTTTTCATCTTGGCCCTTGTGATTGGACAGATGATGGCTATGTGCAGGACCAAGGCGGTGAACGGGCCTCACTGTGATTTCATTAAAGTTGGTAAGGAAACAAAGGCAAGGGAAAGAAAAGGAAGAGAATTGGAACCACGTTTTCCCATCATGGTACTGAAACACTGAGCGCTGAATTTTCACCTTCTGATTAGAACTGGCAGTTGAGCTGATATGATTTATTTCTTTGGGGTCAGGAAGGAACTGTCAAATTTTAATTTGACTGTTTTTTCTCTAGGTCCTCCCCACTTCCCAACCCCCCTCACTTTTTTTTCCCTTAAAGCATGACTGTATTAATCAGATAGCAACCACTGTGAGCTGCATCTGTGGTAAGTGTTTGCAGATGAAGTCTGAGCCATGCCAGACATCCCTTTGCATTTTTCTGGTGTGCCAGAAAGGAATCTTGTTCATTCCATCCCAGTGGCTCGGAAGGGAGCCGTCTGACTTCACACAGGAGGGCTAATGTGTGGTCTGGTTTAATACAGGTGCCTTTTTCTCTCCTCCAGGTTTTACGTTTCCATGAACATTGGCTTTAGTGTCTTCAACATGAGTCTGTGAATGACCTTGCTCCCTTGCTCCCATCACGAGCTTGAGCTTCCACGTCATGGGCTCAGAGATGGTCTCCCCTCAGCGCTGGCAGAAGGGAAGCTGGGAGAGGGGCATTCCGCCAGCACCATTCGTACGTTTCCTTTCTACCTGCTGGCTTCAAACAGTATTAATTTTTATGTGCTCATTGTGCATTGTGTTTAATTAAAAGCAGTTCTATTCACAGAGGCACTTGTAGAATTTTTTTTCTCCCTGAAATGAATAAAACAAATAGGCATCTGGTATTTGTTTTGTATAACACAATCCCCATAAAATGAAGAGTAATAAAACATAATTATCTGTAAAGGCTTGTTTTATAAGCCTGAGAATGGGCTTGTTTCTACCAGGTTTTTAAATTCTACTCACAGGATAAAGAATCTCTTTGTACATTAATATATGACAACAATAACAACAAACGCACTCCCCAGTTGCATGCATGAATCCAACTATTTTATTAAACGATTTTTTTTCTGCTATAGTGTACATGATAAAAGTTTGTCATTACATTCCTTCTATGTAAACACATTAGATTGAAAGAATATATTTACTTCCTGTTCTATATCTGTTCAGTTGACATAGGTTTATATATGATTTTTTTCCCTGGGCATAATTAAAGAAACAACTTTATTATTGGTTATAAGGAAAGAAGCAGCTTTATATTCTTTCTTTTAGGTCACAGACCACTCTGTGGATTCTAAAACCTCTTTTCAGAAAAGAACACATCAAACTTTTAGTACATTTTATAGGGCTTGTAGACTTTCCGTTCCTTGGTTAAAGACTCCTGCCAATGTCTGATAACTGTTTTGAAAACTGTATTTCTAACCTGAATCTGAGGTTTTAGTATTGGTGTATGCATATCTGATGAAAGAAATTCATTCAGTAGTTTTGCAGCATTGGATTTAATTTCAGGGTTGGGCTCCTTTCTAGGAATGGAGGGGTACTCTTATCTGAGGAAAAAATTCAGTGTGGGAAGTGTAAAAATTATCAGTTCACAAGTGTGTTTGCTGTCAGATTGGATGGCAGTGCTACGTCCCTAGGGCATCTGTTTCCAATACGGTTTTCATTGTTTCTATCCAGCACTAGGCATGGGCTTTGAAGTGGCGAATTCATCCTCTGAAATTGTGTGTCCATTGCTGCAAGAATAAAAGAAGCAGTAACGGAATCATGCAGCGCAGTATTTCACAGTGACAGTTTTATGTGTTTGTGTGATGTTGCAGAGTCTTGTATGTGTTATCGACCCTTTTCTTTTGAATCAAAGCACGGGGCTTTCCTGGAGGAGGGAGGCTTCAAAAATAATTTTGAGTCTAACACAAAATTAAGCTCCTAAGTAGTCACTCCGTTCTGTCTACTACGAAACTAATTGCTTCCAGGAAGTGAAAGTACATATATCTAATGTTTATATTCCATTTGAGTAGGGTTTCTAATTTTAGATCTCTAGCCCTTTTTTACATTGTCTTTTTGCATTGAAGTTATACTGAAACATTCATATTATTATGAATGCAAGCTGAGTTAAACAGACAAAGACACCCAGCTTCTCCCTTCGTATTGTCATCTACTGGAGAATGAAGAGCTTAAAACAAGCGTCGCCGTTCCTCATCCAGAGGGAAGCTGAGGATTCCAAGTCTAGATCAGCAGACACTTTGCATGCTTAGCTGAAATACCATTTTTGAACATACTTGGCAACTCAAAGTGCCCAATTAAAAGCTCTGTAGAAAGAGGAAGTCTGTGGATGTGCAATTAGCCTTTAGGAATCAGACGGTTTCCTTTATGTGTGGAAGGCCATAATGTGACATTGCTGGACACAATAGCCTGATGCCAGGTGCTTAGAATAAAAGGCACTTCCAGGGTGGATTATTTTTGTACTCTTGCTCCCAAGATGGATTACTTAAGGAGGCGTCCAACTCCACAAAAATGCTGGTGGTGTGGAGAAATTGTGGAGGTGGTCTTTCATAAAATCTTAGTCGATAACCATAACTAGCCATCCACATGGGAGACAGCAAACTCTTTTATCTGCTTGATGATCTCTCTCTTCTCACCTTTTGTTTATTTTTTAAAGATGAGAGTTGGACACAGAGAATTTGCCAGTATCGTGTTTTTCCTTACTGAAAAACTAGGCCTTGCTGACAGCTAGATGAGCTGTGTATTCTGAGGTTATTTATAGTGTTTATGGTAGTGAGGCCAAAAACACTAAGCTCTTAATAGCTTTTCTTATTTACAAGTCATATTCATCTATAGGATATTATTCTTTTATTTTTCTGGTGCTTGAAATGTTTTTTTTTAAATACATTATCAGAGAGGACACATAGTGACACAAAATTTGTTGCTTGTGAAAATGCAGAATGGGTTAAGCTTTTATTTTTTAATGATCTGCAACATACTAGGCCTATTTTATTTCAGTAAACACCCTGCTTTTTTTTTTGCCTCAGCCACACTCACACGATGAACAGAGGATCGATAAGTGTAGGTGAACAGGTAGCCCTTGTTTCTCAGTTGCATGATAGGGCCCTCCCAACAGAGTTTACAGTAAGGTGAATGTCCATTGAATTCCCCCTTCACCCCAATGTCTTCTACTGTGAAAATTACATTGTCTTCCACTAGGCTCTGAAAAATATATGTTCTCAGATAGGAATACAAAACAAAAAACCAAAATAAGACAAAAAACCCCAATAAAATCCAAACCTTTCAGTACCATAAATCTAGAGGAATCATGAACTTGTACAATGACCATTTATGTGCCCAACCCTGAATTGTACCCCCATCTTAAAAAAAAAAGGAATCGCTAATTTTCTGATGACACTCAGAATCTTGCCCCTGCCCCAAGCCATGGCATGCGACTTTAACAACAAAATGGCGGCATATAGAAGTATCACGACCTGGAAGTCTACTCTTCCTGCTTAGTCTTCTCCCCTCGTTTTCATGGGAGGGAGAGCCATCACCAAGATTTCAGTAGCTAGGTTGTATTAATAACCTCAGCACCCTTATTTCCATGCATCCTAAACTTGAAACCCGAGGTGAGTTTGCTGCTTTTCTAGACGTTTCCTCCCAGCCCTCTTCCCATCTGTTGCCATCTCTCTGGATGAGGCATGCTCGCTGGTGAGGCGTGAGGCTGAGCAGTGGAACAACCATGCTTTGCTGGCAGCAGATAATTTTACCCAGGTCCCAGTGGGCACCTGTGTGCTGCAGTGTGGACTGTGTAGGGCACTGCGCCTTTGCCCTGCCCACACTTCCCTCGTGCACCTAGAAGGCACTCATCTTATCATACACTGTCTCCTCTGACGCTTGCAGAAGCTCTGTGGGGGTGAGTGAGGGGGACTCAGGGCACCTTTCTTTTCTCTTTATTTATTTTAGAGTTATGGGGTACATGCAAGGTCGTGTAGCATAAGTAAATTGTGTGCAGGTGAGGTTTGGGCTTCTAGCGAGCCTTCTCTTCCCCGATAGTGGATGTGGCACCCGGGGGAGCACACAGCCACTCATCTCCCTTTTATGAATGAGGAAAGTAAGACAGGCCTGCTCAGTGACTTGCCCAGAGTCATGCAAGGCAGAAGATGCAGAGTGAGGATTTGAACCCAGCGAGAACTAGGCTCTGTGGCCTAGTGTCTTCCTGATGCCATGTCTGGGTCTCAGCCTGGGCTGCACTTTGAGTCATCAGAGGCTTCCCAGGGCACCAGTGTGTTTGATCCTGGCATCTGTGTTTGGAGGGTTTTGCAATTGGCCTTGTGTGCCACCAAGCAGGGCTAATGGTGGCTAAATTACACAGCAGGCCCCGCTTATTTCCTTGCATGCCTGCTGAGCTGCTGCAGGAAGATCAGACCCCTGCTGTCTTGGGCCTGCAGACCCGTGTGGGGATGGATATGCCCACAACCACTCCAAGCATGATGTGTGTTGACAAGTGCCTTGGTGGTGCAGACCTTTTGCTCTGTCGTAGTTCTGATGATGGGGCTTATGGTGGGTCCAAGAGGTAGCATTGGGACATGGTTGTTCAGTAAGCTGTTTATTCTAGCTCAGAAGAATTCCTTGTGTGTTTGCTCTGTAGACCCTGTGATTGCCAGGTGGTTTTGGTCTAGGTCTCATGAAGGTCTCAATTGGGGAACTTGGCTCTCTCCCATTCAGTTTGTCTGGGAGAGCTTGGTGATTGGACTAGTGGGTTGTATATTTCTTCACCTGTTCTCCAGCCTGATGAGTGTGTTTTCCAGGGTCTGCCCCATGGGATTCCTAGGTTGGGGTAAGGCATTGGCAGGCTAGTTGAGGGTAGAACACCATCGATCCTTCAGTCTTTTCTTACTGAGACCCACTGACCAAAAAGCTAGGGTTTGATTCCTGATTTCAGGAAATTTGTGCTGAGCATCTCACTGTGTGCTAAGCAGTAAGAACACCGGAGACAGGCTACTTAGGAGCCAATTAAGCTAGTCCTGGGTTAGAGGGAGAGGTGTCAAGGTAGCAACTAGTGCATCGGCAGAGAACCCATCTGCACAATGTACTGGATTAGTTCCTGAATTCTTTATATTCAGAGTATGGAGCGGGGCCCCACTGGCCTTGACAGTCTGCATCATTAAGCACTTATGGTGCCAGGTGGGTGACTGGCCACATGATCAGAAGAGGCCTTCATGACAGGTGTGACAGGAGCTATGGGACACGATGGAGAGAATTAAATAGTGCAGTATTTCCATAAATGTTCTTCAATTGTGGAGTGCACTGTTTTGTAGGTTTATTCATTGAAGCATTGAATCTGCATTTATTAAATGCTTTTTGTGTGCCAAGCTTATTGAAAAGTCTAAGTTTTAAATTTGGTTCTTAAATTCCTCAAGTTTGGAGTTTAGCTGAAAGCACTGTTATAGCCTGAGAAAGGAATTTTATCAAATGATATACTTAAAGTAAGGGGGAAAGTTTGCCTCTCCATCCCCAAGCCCCACCAGTCCTATTGTCGATTGGTCTTGGTCTTGTCAATCAGCTGTAAGAGGTATAGAAATATCTTGGGCCATAAGTGTGTACTCCATGGTCATCCTGGT